AGAGGACTTTGAAAATGATGCTGCAGACACTCACATTGGGTCTGGATCAGTCATGGTGGATCCTTCCCTGATTCGGCTCCTATCACATGACTTTTGTACTCGTGTTACTTTCAGTAAATTCCACCTTCTCATCGGTTCGTGCAAAAGGATCTCTGGTGTGGTTCCTCACCCTTGCTATTCTTCGTTCATCTTTAGTAAGGCAAGGCAAGTTTATTTAGCACATTTCAACAACAAGGTAATTCAAAGGACGGGGAAAATGTTTTAAAAGAGTTCAATAGAAAATACAAACAGGCAGGTCTCTCACCTTTGCTTATTTATCTCCTTTGATTCCCCATCTCCCACCCTATCCTTTTTTTAACCCTAAAGGTTCATGCAGACCACACGACTTTCAGCGTGCCGTTCACACTACACAACTTGCCGTCTTGTGACAGTATGTGTAACGGGAAATGGCGCAAACCTACAGACAAAACAGCTGTTTGTTATTATAAAGACAGCAATTATAAAGACACAGAATATGGATGAAAGAATGGATCGGCACACACAGGTAGCAGGGATTGTCTGAGCTACAGAGAGAGCTGGAGGGGACTCAAAAGTGTTTTGTAGTGAAAACATTGGCTAGATGTGGATGTCGAGCCGACCGACTCCTCCAGATATTTGGCATGCTAGATATCTGGCAGACATCGGCGATGTGTCAGAAATGTGTTGGGGAGCCGTTTTGATGTGTCGTTGTGTAGTTCACACATAACGACTGGAGACCGCCGATCAACTGCTGATCACAGCGTGACGGTCACAACAAATTGGGCTACAAATCGTGTAGTGTGAACTAGGTTTATGGGGACTTAAGGGGACTCTAACCTTTTAACACTTAGGGACTAACCCTTCCTTAGATACAGTCGTCCCTGTAAATCCAGATTGTCCACGCTACAAACTTTGGTAAAAGCGGTTGACAGCGGGCCCTGTCAACAAGTTAACAGCGGAGAAATCAAGGACTCTAACCTTGTTTTTCTACTCGGCCCTGTTAACTGAAGATCAGTCGTGTGAGATGGGACGATCAAAAGAGAACTCTGAGCTTTTTAAATAGTGTTCACTGAAAATCTAAAAACAAAGAAAAAGAAAACAGGACAGTTAAAGTTACAGTGCAGTAAAATTTAGTAGTAGTATAGTAGTGCTTTCTTCGTTGACCTGTTTACACAACATTTAATTCTGATATGTAGCCTTAGAGAACAAAAGTCTGTTCACTTGCTGTTATTCAACAGTCATGAGCTAGAGGGAGGGGCATCTCTAGAAGTCCACGATAGGTTAACGACGTCACGCTGGCAGTCGCAGGTAGGATTCCAGGGAGTCGCAGGATTTCTCACCACAATTCTGGAAGTGGAAAATCAAACTGCCAACTTACAGAGGCACCTGATCCACTGCATTTTTTACCTTTTGATTAGTTGACAGCGCAGAGGTAGACAAAAAACGCGGGTAAACCAACTGACCGGCCAACCAACAGATGGACATTGCCGTCCCTTGCGCCATGCCGGTAGCAAGGCTAAAAAGTATTTTTCTGTTTGACAAAAATTCTCAGGATCTCAGTTCCCAGTATCGCCGCACAGCAGGGTTTCACAGGTAAGCATTTCCACTCTGATGTCTGAAGCGCTATTAACAAGCAAATAAGCAACATCCTCTACACCATCAGCGCCCGCCACCTCCGAACACTACAAACCCCAAGGGAGCCTCTTAACCGGGACGTAAAGCAGCTGTGACTAAACATCCTACATGTTTTTATTGATCACAGTGGATAATGACAATGGTCTTTGTTGCAGGTGTCGAGTCTGGCGCCGATGCTGGACTACTCCACAGAGATGGACCGTTACCGTTCATCTATCGCCAGCTTCTACAAGACCAATGTAAACATGAACATGAACGTCACAAACTTTCCTCAGTCTGCCAAACTGGCGGCCCGTTTGGCGGCCGCCACCCCATATTCCCCCCCACCGCTGCCAGGCTGGGCGCCATGGCGACAGGGCCCTGGGGCTGCCACGACAACATGAACATGAACGTGAATATGAACCACCCAGCGGCCATGTTCTGGGGCCGACCCAAACCCATGGCAACCGCCCCGACGCACCACCACCACCACCACCATCACCCTCGGCAACGCCAGGGCACATGACCTCTTCACACCCCCACAGTACCAGCATGCACCAGGGCGGGGGGTCGGCAGGGGCAGGAGGTGGAGGTGGAGGTGGGGGGAGCAGTGAGGGGGGAGGAGCTGAAAAACACGGACACACTGCCTCCTCACTTCCTGTCACACAGGGAACGGCACACCATCACCCCATGGCGCCCAGCAATGGGAACTTCCTCCCGGGTTATGGCGGAGGGGCAGACTGCGGCGTCATGAACAAACAGGGGCACGCCCACCCGGACATGATGGGCCTATCAGAGGGCGGAAACTGCAATGGGGGAGGGGTTATGGGTAGTAGCTTCCTGGGGGGGCTGGGATTACCCCCCGGGGTCATTGTCATGGCGATGGGGTCGGCAGGGGGCGGGATCTCAGATGCCAGCAGCGCCTTCCAGATGACAGGTGGCCAGCGGGCGCTAACAGACTGCCAGCAGCACGCTAACTCCTCCCCCTGCCCCTCCTCCTCCTCGCCCTCGTCATCAGGTGTGACGGCGGGGGGCGTGGCCTTGTCGTCATCGTCGTCGTCGGGGACGGTGGCCAAGAGAAAGAGGAAGCGGTGCGGCGTGTGCGGGCCCTGCAGGCGGCTGATCAACTGCGGCGTCTGCTCGTCCTGCCGCAACAGAAAGACGGGTCACCAGATCTGCAAGTTCAGGAAGTGCGAAGAGCTGAAGAAGAAACCGGGGGGAGGAGGGGGGGCGCTGGAGGTGAGGACGCACACACACACACACACACGCACACAGAGAGAACACACACTGTGGAGTTAATATACAACTTTTTTGTGTTTAATCTTTTCTTTAAACACGTAACAAGATTGTGCATGCACGTGTGTGTGTGTGTGTGTGTTTGCATGTGTGTGTGTGAAGGTGTGTGTTTGTGTGAGAGTGTGTGTGTGTGTGTTTGCATGTGTGTGTGAGGGTGTGTGTTTGCGTGAGAGTGTGTGTGTGTGTTTGCATGTGTGTGTGAAGGTGTGTGTTTGCGTGAGAGTGTGTGTGTGTGTGCGTGTTTGTGTGTGTGAAGGTGTGTGTTTGCGTGAGAGTGTGTGTGTGTGTGTGTTTGCGTGAGTGTGTGTGTTGGCGTGAGTGTGTGTGTTTGCGTGAGTGTGTGTGTTTGCGTGAGTGTGTGTGTTTGCGTGTGTGTCCTGGCTCACTTAGCCCAGATCACTGCCAGCGAGGCATGAGCTGGAAGGCATCGCTCACCCTGCTGAGTGTGTGTGTGTGAATGCTGTGCAGATGGTGGGTGGTGAAAAGCGAGAGCTCGGTCCCTGCTGAGGTCTGGCAGGCTGCCAACACACACACACACACACACCAACTCTCCACTGATTCATGGTGATAAAGTGAGCCGGGGAGAGAGAGGGAAAGGAGAATATTTGTTATCTACTAGTGTGTGTGTGTGTGTGTGTGTGGGAGTGCTATAAGAATTAGTGGCGATCAATAATTAATTGACACCAGTATTCGACCTCACTGATGACTCTATATCTCTCTCACTCACACACACTGTCCCTGTGGGAATCCCCACAAACTATCGCTAATTATTCCCTCAGCATCAACACACGCATGTGGTATGAGCACACACACTGAAACATGTTGTGTGTGTGTGTGTGTGTGTGCGCACATGTGTGTGTGTGTGTTACTAAGGCAGTGAATTAGCAGCCGTAATCTTCCTCAATTACACACTAATTGGACCTGTGGAGGCTAGCGGCAAGTGACAGCACTGTGTGTGTCTGTGTGTCTGTGTGTGTGTGAGTGTGTGTGTGAGTGCGTGTCACCATGTGGTTTCACACTCTTGCCTCATCCCTCTTTCGTTAACTTTGAAGTCGACATGGCAGACTCTCAGCCAATCAGAAAGTTTACTTTCTGTAATGAACAGCGGAGCCCCCCGGGTGTCTCTTCTGACAGACTGACTGCTAGAAACTGACCACAGACTGTAAACGGCTTTCTCGTCTTCTGTCCACTCAAAGCGCTTTACACAACAAGTCAGCACTTATCCATTCTCACATGGCGGCTGCCATGCAAGGTACCGACTGCTCACCAGTTGAAACTAATACATTCACACACTCACAATGGGAGTATTTTACCCAGAGGGCATTTAAACATGCAGACTGGAGGAGCTGGGGGTCGAACCACCGACCGTCAGATTAGTGGACCACCTGCTCTGCATAATGACTACTTTTAACTTTGGTTCTTTAAGTTAGTGATGTCACGAGAACCAATACTTCGGTTCCTCCAAGTTGATACCAAAGTTCTGAAAACATGACGGTACTTGTTTTTCCAGGTACTGTAGGTAATGGGGATCCAACCACATTTACTTGTCTTCCTTCATCTGTCTTGGAGGGTGCTGACCGTGATCAACCCTAATATCTCTACATCTTTCTGACACTTTTCTTTCTCTTTTTGTCTCTTATTCTTAGCGGCCACCCTCCGTCCCGACCGGCGAGGCATTTCGATGGTTCTTCTAGCCTTCCCTTCGCCAACAGAGTTGCAGCTAAAGGCCGAACAGGAAGTCGCTGTCACATACAGACTACAAATCAGCCTTGGATAAGTTTAAAAAAAGGACCAAAACCTTTGGAATTGAACCAGACGATTTGCAAGAGGATTACAATTTCATACTGTGTGGATGACATTTTAAGACTACAAATACCACCTCAACTGGAACAGGGAACTAGCTAGGAGGAGGATGAGGGGCAGTTTGGTCACAGGCAACAGGAACTGGTGTGACGATCAACAACTGCATGTGTCCCAGAACCTGTTTGCAGGTAAATTTAAAACTCAGCTCTTAAATAGATGCACAAAGGTTGTGTGAATGCTATATAGCGGTCTATAGCTACTTGGCTAGAAGTGCAACCAGTCTGTCTTTGTACATGTTAGCATCACAGCAGGCTACAGTTAGAAAGTTACGATTATCGACTGACCAATCAGAATTGAGCAGGGATTTAAAATGGGCTGGATTTAGTAGCTTCATAGCCAAATGATGAAAAATAGCATTAGAAAAATGGCAGCAACCATTTGTTTACCAACAGTTAACCAATTAGCTTTAGATTTCGTTGCTGTAATCTAAAATAATCTAAGGACCGGAAATGTTCAGCTTTGCTCCTCTGCTAGCTTGACTATCTGACGTCTACTGGTGAATATCAGAGTGCTGAACTGTTCCTCTACTATTAGCCTGTCTTTGCTGGTATAAACTGCTAGTCACTTCACCTGGTACAAAAGATCAGTCCCCCAATAGTAGGGGGGCAGTTCTTTACCTGCTTGTCACCAGCAGATGTCAGATTTTGGGAAAGAAACTCAATCAGTTGTGTGACTGATCTGTATTGGCAAAGGTGGAGTATCGACAGCATGGATAACCAACTGATCCCACTAAAGATTCAGTCCAGTCATTTGGGCACGTTTAAGGTGGCAGGATCACCGGACAGTTGTATTGATGCCATTTCAAGTTATCTAGTTCTATCCAATTTTGCTGCAAGTCAAAGATAAAGGCTCAACAACAGGACTGGATACAGCGCCAAAGCTTTGCAACACAACATTCAGTTTTACTATGTTTGGGAAGCACTGAACACAACCATGGTCCGGTAGTGGGTTTCTGTTGTGATTGTTTTTTTACTGATCATTCAGCACCTTACCAGAAGCCCTTAGTGCCCTGTTCAAATCATATAGGATACCGTAATTACTAGAGATATCCCAAGCTGATCCTAAGAATGAGTATCGTGTCTCATCTGGGAATGTTTTAGTATATCGGTATTGGCTAAAATAACACAGATCAAAATCCGGTCCTTTCTATGCTCTACTGTGTTTTGTCCACCTCAGCTTGCTGGTGTTGCAGTGCTGCTACAACAGCCGGGCTCTAGGTGTGTGCGCATTTCACCCGTATGCAAGTGAGAACTAGAGCGAGTGAATGTGAAAATTTACACGCGCACCAGTACTTTGCTCTGACACTTCATAATGGAAAAATACTAATTTACTAATTCCAACTCTAACTCATTAGCAAAAAAAATGTACAAAACATTCAGCCTGCAGCTTTTAGCCGCGGCTGGTCGAGGGAGGTCACACCAGCCGTCACTACTTAACGTTAATTAGGTGTGTAACTTGAGAACAGGATGACATTAAACCTGTCTGTGGACACCATTCTTGTTTGTGAATTATAAGGTGTGGAGACAAGAGCTGTTATTTCATATTGTCAGATGCTTATTTAATCAACATTTAGATAAATATTGGATGGCCAAAAAACTTGATGGGGACATCCCTAGTATTTCATGTTTAAATAGCGTTCACATCAACACCCAAGTCGGAATTACGACTGGGAAGCAGGTTTTTTGGAAAGTTTAGATTAGTGCCTGGAAACCAAAACGAACATTCAAGGTGATTAAACCCATATTTAATGGATATAGTGTTACATTGTCAGTGCACAGTAGTATTAACCCTCCAAAGACCAGCTCTCTAAGTACACATCGGTCTTGAGTTGCCCGACGATGTGAATGCTTACAAGTCGGAAACATAAGAATCTTTCCACCTCTACCATCTATCCAATATGATGTAAACATGACACCTGAGCATGTATCCACTGCGACAACCTTCACTATCTGTGATCAAACTGTCCCCTCCTTTCCTCCTCGTCCTAGCAAACCACAAACCCCATCGTAGCCAAACCAGGAAGATTCGGACCTCAAGTGGACCACAGAAACAATTACAGTTTGACCAAAACCGGATGACAAGTTAACCTCACAGGAAAAACTTTTCTACAGAGGGAGTACAAACTGACCTCATAACGAAGGACTACAACTTCACCACAGTAGGACTACAATTACCACATCACTGTTATCTGTCTCTTCTGTCTACCTCCTCCTCAAGAACTTAAAAGGCACCTTGATTGATTTTTACTGGGCTGTTCATGTTGGTACGACATGATCTGCTTCTCAACTCTCTAGATGGTCCAGAGCCGATCGGCCTCTAATGGGATACTCCACTACTACGCTTACTAATTTACTCCTTTGCCTGAAGGAGCCGTTAAATGTCTGAATTTTGTTTTTTTCGTCTGGATTTCAATGGAAAGTTCTCAGGGCGCCGTCATACTTCCAGTTTGTTTTATATGATCTAAAGCAGACTGGCAAAACTAACTTTGTTGTATTTTGTATTTGCGTAAAAGGTGGCAGTGGAAGGTGTGTAATTTTTGTCTGTACAAAGAATGGTGTTTTATTAAAAAAAAAACACATTTTCACATTGAATATTTGCTCTAAATTGGCATATCTAGTCCCAAACATTCAGATTTCTAAAGTCTGTATTGGTCAAACCCTCAGTAGGACCTCAAAGAGAGTTCAGAACCAGTTTCTCTGTTCTTGTATCAATGCAGATTGTACCACGTGGTTACCAACAGGAAACCGAGCAGGAGAATCCCCCTGCAGTTTAAAGGCAGCGTGGAGACTCACAGGGAACCTTTGGATCTTCTGGAAAGCTCACACGTTCTGAGCTGAACCCCGGGAACCAAACTGAACTGAAAGAGATCAGAACATTCCACACGACAAACACGTCATTTCCAACACGTCTGTGGGTCTACTTTTGTGACAACACACCAATATGTTCTGTGATACTATTTAAACGCATGTTAAGTCGGAAAAACACCCTCCCTCACAAAACCGTGTCAGTGCTAGTTATGCTATGAAGTGACGAATGCTGGTCACTCTATGCCGTAGCAGTGACGAATGCTGGGTTTGACAACACAACATCAAAAGTCTCTTCTTTGAAAACATGACATTTATGCTGCAGACCTCCATCAGCAGAATCAAGATTGCTTTAAAATGACATTCAGTAATTAGTTTATTATCATCACAGCTGTAACAGTGGGCTGACCAGAGAGGCGTTGTTGTCAAACTGACAGCCGATCAAATGACTAGTGGTGGGTTTCAAAAGATCTTGCTATTCAGACTTTTTTCTTCAGATTTCCATTAGCTTCATTAGGTGATGTTTAGTTTGGAGAAGACAATTTATTTTAGAGTTTGCACTAAGTAAGTTTACATTTCACTACCACAAGGCGAAGCAATGCAGTTTGTTTCTCTATCCACAGACCTCAGGAAGAAATAGTCCCACAGAAAACTGTTGCGTCTGTGGTCATGCAGAGTAACCAGGACGTAGTTTCTGGAAAGTTAGACGTTACTGATTAGTTTTCAAATATAGTTCATGACCGTTTGGAGCAGCATCTCAAAATTTTAGCAAATCAAATTGTAACTTTTCTGAAATATCTCAACAAATACTGGACAGACGTCCATGAAATTTGACGATTT